CTGTCTACAAAAAAAATTTTTTAATTGAGCCCAGGAGTTTAAGGTTGTGGTGAGCCATGATCCTGCCATTGCACTCAAGTCTGAGCAACAGAGTAAGACTCCAACTCAAAAAGAAAGAAAAACAAACAATACAAAATGATAAATAGGGGAAATCTCATTCTCATCCTTGTGTTCTACCTATCCCATTCCCACCAACTCTCTAGATTATCAGTTTTGAGCAAATACAGTTTGTGTGTGTGTGTGTGTGTGTGTGTGTGTGTGTGTGTGTGTGTGTGTGTGTGTGTGTACTACATTTTATTTATCTATTCATCTAAGGATGGACATTTGGGTTGTTTCACCTTTTGGCTCTTGTGAATAGTGCTGCTGTGAATATTTGTGTATACGTGTCTGAGTACCTGTTTTCAATTCTTCTGGATTATCCATAGGAATGAAATTGCCTGGAATTGGCAAACTGTTTTCCACAGTGGCTATACTATTTTACATCCCTACTAGCTATGTACACTGGTTATAATTTCTCCATGTCCTCGTCAACATTTGTTGTTTTCCTTTTTAAAAAACATATTGTCATCCTGGTAGGTATGAAGTGCTGTCACACTGGGTTTTGATTTACATCTTACTAATGACAAATGATTTTGAGTTTTTAAAGATGCAAGATATCATACTATATTAATTATATTGTGCCTTGCTTTTTTGAACCTAATATATTTTAGTAATCCTTCCTTATTATCAGTACATAGACATTTTCCACATTTCTTTTAATGGTTATACACTAATTTAATTATATGGATAGGGCAAAAAATGATTTAACCGGTCACTTACTAAAGAAATTTGGGTTTCTTCTAGTAATTGGTATTATAAATGATGCTTCAAGAAACCTTGTGCATTATTGTGTATGTGTATGTGTAGGCTATTATATCTATAGAATAAATTCCCAGAAGTCAGACAGCTGGGTCAACAAATATGTATACTAGCAAATATCTTGTCAATACCAACTGTTGGTAGTCTATGGAATAATGAGAGCTCTTATATCTTATAAGCAGGTCTGTATGTCCATGCAAACACTTTGGAAAAGAATTTACCAGAATCTCATAAAGATCAAATCTATATAATCTCTAACTCAGAAATTCTACTCCTAGGTAGAAATTCATAATATACTATAAGACATATACAACCATTTAATAGCTTTTTCATGACAGTAATATACACACAAAAAAAGAAAAATGGAAGACAGGGAAGGGAGGAGAGAAGGAGAGAAAGAAAGATAAGTGAGAGCAAGAGAAAGAGAGAAGGAAGAAAAAAAAGGAATACTTTTTAAACTACGGTATACTTGTAAAATGGAATACAACACAGCTGTGAAGAATGAATGAATTAGAGCTATAGGTATCAACAATTACCAACCTCTTTATGCCATAGTTATTTAATCTCTCTATGTCAGTTTCTCCACTTGTAAAGTATAGACAATAATACTACTACTTCCTAGAACTAATATGGGCTAATATTCATCAAGTGTTTAGAACAGTGCCTGGCATGTGGTAACTATGTACGTGTTTGTTAAATGAAGCAGATCCCACAAATGCAACGTTGAGTGAAAAGTCAAGTTTCAGAACACTGCATACAGCATATGTAATACCACATACAGATAGTATCAAAACACAAAACAATAACACATGTATTTCCACAGTAAATTCTCACTGAACATCATCCATGTGTTCTTGGAAATGGTGACTTTAAGCAAAAGAATGTATAACAAAACAATTTTTTCTCATCATTATCAAAAAGTTTATTGAACAAAAAACATGTTATTCAAGAATCTGCTGTATGTTGTTTCACTAAAGTCACCATTTCCAGGCACCTATCAAGTTATCAAGTTAAGTGAAGACTTCCTATATTTACAAATGTAGAAAGGCTATAAACAAAAGCAAGGGAATGGCAATGACTTTTTTGCTGCTGCCAGGATGTTGAAGCAGGAGACAATTTGGAAGGAACATCTGGGAGGGGGTAACTGGCATTGATGGCGTTTGTTCTTCAACAGTACATGCAAGTCCCTGGAGTTCATTCCATCATTCTTCAAAGTTTGTGTGTGGCGTAATAAATAAATAACCTTCTTAAAAATGAAGGATAATCAGTGGAAGAAAAGCTACAGGATGTATACTTGTGAAATAATTATGGTAAATACAGTGGAAAAAACTATGCAGCAATAGCTATGGAAAAGGAAACAGCATGATTGGCAGAACACACATAACACAGTATCTAGAACAATATCATAAATATTATTTTACCACAAAAAGAGGTTTTTCGGATAGAGTAGAAAACAAAATCTAGCCATACTCAGCTTTAAAAAGACAAAACGTTCAGATAAAGTTCCTTCAAGCAAATTCTGACAAAGAGAAAGAAATAGTATAAATATAATCATACAAGATAGATTTCAAACTTTAAAAATTTCACAGGAAAAGGGGATATTTGAAAGTGATAAAATGAACACACTGAACAGATGTCCTAAATCATTATGTACTAAGCAACATAACATTTATTTATCTATTGCTTAATTATTTATTTAGAATTGTTGTCTCACTTTATTGCCCAGGCTGGAGGGCAGTGGTACAATCATGGCTTACAGCAGCCTTGACCCTCTGGGCTCGGGAGATCCTTCCACTTCAGCCTCCCAAGTAGACTACAGGTGCACATCATCATGCCCAGGTAATTTTTTTTATCTTTTGTGGAGATGAGGTCTTGTTATGTTGCCTAGGCTAGTCTCAAACTCCTGGGCTGAAGCAATCCTCTCACCTGAGCCTTTCAGAGTACTGGGATGATAAGTATGAGCCACCATGCCCAGCCTAAGTAACATAACTTTAAAATATGCAATGCAAACATTTTGAGAATTATGAAGAGAAAATGTCTAATCAACAATCATAATGGGAAATTTTTCATACACCTCTGTCAGAAATCAACTGAGCAAAAGAACCAAAACAGCAAGAAAGAAACTCATTTTAGATAGATATGAAATTTTTATACCCAAGTAAAAAAGAATATACATTTTCTCCAGACTCAAAATATTTATTAAAATTTATCTAATGCTGTGTGTTTTATAAAGACATAAATCACCAAAACACTCCCTCAAATTCTAATCCTGCAGGGCATGTGCACTCATTTCAATAAAAGGGAACAGAAATTAATAATGAAATATTGATCAAAAATGTCAATCTCCCATCCACTTGAAAATGTAAAAACAGTGTAGGCCCTGCATACCTTTTGATAGATCCTGGGAATGTTTTTTCTTGAAAAATAATCTAAAATTGGGGAAAATCATAGGCAAAAAGTATTGAATCCAAAATTATTCATATGGCAAAAAAAACCCCAAGTAATCTTAATCTAAATTTCTATTAATAAGGAAATACTTAAGTACATTATGGGACATTCAGTTGATGGACTGTTATATAGTTATTTTGTTGAATGATTTGAATACTGTGTAGTAATGTAGAAAATCCTTAAGGTCCAAAAAAAACAAAAAATAAAAATCAAGATTAAAATATATGAACAGAAATGGACAATTATCAGGAGATAAGATACAAATAGTCAATTGACATATAAAAAGCTACAATTCAAGAAATCAAGTCATGCAGATTAAATTAAAATGAGAAATCACTTGTCCTACTATCAAAAGATTTTTTTTTTTAACTTAAACTCTTTACTGGTAAGGGTACAATGAACCAAGCATTCACAACTGCTGAGAATTTATACAAATTGCGACAACCTTTCCACAGTTCTTTTAGACAATATGTACTGAAATCTGTGAAAACTTTTGATAGAAATTCCACCTTTAGGAATCCATTTTTAAAAAAAAATTAAAATATGGGCAAAGGTATGGCTATGAGGAAGTTATATGCTATTTAAAATAATAAAAAACTACAATTTAAACATCTAAAAATTGGAGAGTAGATAGAATGATAGAGTCATTCTATCTAATATTATGCAATGTTTAAAAAAGATACTATAAAACATAATTAACAATAGAAAAATATCTCAATATATTATATAAAGGAAAGGAAAACATGAGGCATACGTAATATGACTCCACTTTTGTTATAAATATATCATATACCATATGTCATATATATAGGTTTGTGTGTGTATACGTGAGAATTAATACAAACATTAAAATTCTGGAAGACTATCTGCCAAGCCTAGTAATGGATATCTCTAGATTACGACATTTTCAGATAATTTAATGCTCTCTGCTGTATATTTTACAATTTTCAACAATGAATATGCATTACTAATATAAGAAAAAAATTATCCACCTATGCAGAGAGAGAAAAAAGAAGGAAAATTTTAAATGATGAGTGTTAAGGCAATGGGATGGTGGGTGTTGTTTTTTTTCTCTTCTGCAAACTCTTTGAGATGTTCTTACACTACTTTAATTACTTAAAATATTTTTAAAATTAGCAGTGAAAGCACCACTGATTTGTAAGCCTATCACTAGGGAGGACTGTGGGATTAATTCTGCCACTCCGGCTTCCCTAACTCTCCATATTGCTTCTTGTGAGTATAGACACATTTCTCTAGGGAAGCCTCTTGGTGACCTTGTGTACCAAGCAAGACCGCAGTGAGCACACACAGGAGTTGGTGCCAAACTGCCATCAGAGTCTCCCTGACTTCCCCACTAATCACTCACTGCACTATAAAAAGACTTGATGGGAGAATGAGATTCTGGCCAGCTCTCCCACCAACTGCCTGACCATAAGGCCTGCCACTGGGCCTCTCTGGGTTTCCAGTTCCTTAGCCCCTGGAGGAGAGGTCTGAAAGGGGTGGCCTCTAGGAGCACTTGTTCCAGCTTTCTGGTTCTAGGTGCCGGTGGGAAACACAACTGTCAATAGCCAAGACAGATCTGGAAAAATCCACAAATGGGCATCGACAAAGAGCTATAAAACTAAAAGGAGATCAAACAAAAGTTAAGCTAAATTATCTGAAATCATTGGATTTCACCCAATGCCTCCACTCACTCTGTAGTCTCTATTCACATCGCTGAGCTGCCAATAATTATTAGGGAGGCCCATTCGCTTGTATTCTTCACTGAGATCAATAAGCATCCAGCCTTGTTCTCTCTCTTCTTTATCCAGCATGGGGTTGAATGAAAAGCAGTATAACTCCTCGTATTTCACTGCAAAAAAAGGGAGAATAAAGCCAAAACAAGCTAATTCAAAGTCAGAACCAAATCTCCCCAAAAACATTCTGTCCCAACTAGAGTACACCCAGAGGCCATCCCAGACCCCAGCCCCCTGCACACTGCCCAGAGTACCCCGTCTCTGTAAACAGGGTAACCCACCTCCTCCCAGCAATAACAAGAAGACCTTGAGACATCTAGACTCAACTTTACAGTAGTTTCATTCCTTTTAAAAAACAAGGTCTTTCCATTTTGTGTTTTTAAAAACAATTTCCTTAAGAGCAAAAATATTTTCCCGCCCACATAAAATATGGACCATAAAAATTAATTAAGGATGTATGCATTCATTAGACATCAATAATTCAATTTTTTAATGTATATCAAGCTTGGATTTGGGATGGCCTTTCAGAGGTACACAGAGACCCAGGCCAATTCCACATTTCAATGTTCAGTTTTTTTTGTTTGCTTGTTTGGGTTTTTTTTTGAGTTGGAGTCTCACTCTGTCACCCAGACTGGAGTGCAGTGGCCGCTCCCGGCCACCGCAGCCTCGACCTGCTGGGCTCCGGCGATCCTTCCGCCTCAGCCTTCCATGTTCAGTTTTTTAAACAAATAACAAACATTTGGAAAAGCTGTGGATTACATGAAATGTTTGCATTTGAAACATTTGAACTTTTAACACCATAAATGTTACAACTGTATTGCTCATATTTATAGGATTCATTAAAAAAAATCTATTCATAGCACGCAGTACCATGGTCATGGGATACAAGCTGAGGCTGCATCACAAAAGTTGTCTTTCCATTGTGTCATGGTATCTCTGTCCTTACATATTGCCTTTTATGTTTCTGAGGACAAGTCTGATAGTCTCACTGGTTCCCTCTCTCCAGTAAAATCTAGGATTTGGTTTTCCTGCCCTGATCTTTGCCATGTAAGGGAAATGTCTAGATCACTACTATTCAACAGAAATATAAAACAAGCTACATATGTCACCTAAATTACTCTTACAGCCACATTTAAGGAGTAAAGACAGTTAAATTAATTTACTAATATTTTATTTAACATATGTCCAAAATCATTATTTCAGCATGTACATGATATAAAAATTATTAATATTTGATACATTTTGTTTTGTACTGTCTTTGAAATTGCACACGTATTTTACACTTAATGGTACATCTCAGTTCAGAGTAGTACCAAACAGTTACCTCTAGTCAATGGCTACCACACTGGTCAGTGCAGACCTAAGCATTTCTGATGATAATAAGAGACAGCTGACACCCAGACCTTGTTTTGTCCCAGATTCTGTTCCAATTAATCCAGTTAGTAGGCACCTTGATGGTCCTCACTTTACAGATAAGAAACCTGAGGCCAAAGAAGGATGAGGATGCTCCCCTCACATAGGGTCTCACAGCTAATAAATGGAGAGCCCACATTGAAACAAGGTATCAAGCTGAGAGTGTGTGCTCCTCACCACAACACACACTGCCTCACAAGGTAGATCCTTCTCTTTTTTCTCTTCTTCCCTTGTACTAGTTCCCTAACCTTCCAGTTTCTCTCCAATAGATCTCTTTCTCCTTGTTTTCTTAGGTTCTCCCAGTTACTCCTTAGCTTATAGAAAGCATTGTGTGGACAATTTAATGCTCCTAAACATGTGCATTTGAATCCCTTTACAGGCTCTGACCACCAGCAAGAGGTTGCAGTAATACACAGGCAGCCTGAGATCAAAACTCAGGATCTCAAACTTGTTTGGATTGCTATTGAGATGATTCATCTACATGGAAGAAGAAAGATAAGGGTCATATTTTAAGTACCAGATTTCTTCATTTTTCTTGTGACTAAGAGACAACATGCCTGTGGTATATCCGCAGTGAGATAAATTATGTTCTATTTTAGTCCCTCTTGATGTCAAATTTCTAAACTTCAAAACTTAGAATACTGGTTTTTGAACAAATAAGAAAATATATCCAGGTGCATTCGCGAACAAACATACAGCAAACAAACACTTTCAGTAAAAAACAGTTCATCATAATCTTAGCTAATTGGGCAGCAGTGTATGAAACTGAGATCCTGTTCTGGGAACAGAAAGCTCAGCACTGACAAGTCTTTTCCATCTCTAAGTACCATTTTCATGACCTAAGCTTCTGCTACCATAATGTTAACTGCAAATGCAATTTGTTTAAGATGCCAAAAGAATCTCTTGAGAAAACCTTAGTCCCCTGAGTGAAAGAAGAGCTAATTAATATGGGGTAATAATGGAAACTAAGTTCCTTTTGTTAAACATTTACAAGTAGGTTTAAGGGTAAACGAAAAAACACTCTATGACTATGGATAGTATTCTGTTTGGGGGCTGATGCCTGTTTCCACTGAGAAGAGGCAATAGAACTGCCCATATATTAAAGCAAGAATAATTTATAATAGACATTAAGATGATCACTCTTGAATTGGGAGACGTTAGAATGAATTGACACTGATATGACATTTTGTTGTTTAAGACATTTTTAAAGAAATGGGTGATCAACAAATCCTCAGGCCCAATTTCACCAAAATTTTACATGAAGCAGAACAATTTCCATCTTTGTCAGCCAATGCACAGTCTGCCAGTGGGGGCAAGCTTCTACCCAGAGGCCACCTTAGAAGCAGCGTGGGAGCTGCTTACTCAAGGAAGTCAAAAAGTACCATTAGAGCAGATGTAAATTTTACAGAATATTTCCCATCTCATAATTTTCTATTTCTCTCACCCCGAACTCTTTCAAAATACATAGCAGAATTTTTAGCAATCAACAGGAAGGTAAATTGTTCTTACCAACTCCCTCACTCTCAGATAACCCACTTCCTACTTCGCAGAGAAAAATGCAAGCCACTAAGTAGAAACTTTCAACTTGGAACTACCAATCCTACAAATGAATCTGCATCTGTACCCAACCTTTGCTCCTTCTCTCCCATATAAAGAAAAGGGTGTTCGTTCTGCCAAAATAAGAACTATATATGGATACAACAAAGCATTAGGAAAGAGGGAAAATAACCTAGCTTGTTTCCCAGGTATCAGGCTAAAGGTTATAAAAACAGAATATTTAGGGAAAAAACATGGGAGACTTGTTTCTCATTATAAACTAACTGGGAGAAACAACAGGTAACTATTAAAATCAAAAGTACTTTTAAATGGAAAAAACAAGCAAACATAAATCAGCACCAGCAGAAGGTGAAAGGTGCAGAAGGGAAAAGCTACCAATTGTCATCAGGATACAGAAATGTGAGGTTTTTTAGAACCAAAGAAACTATTGAAAATTAAATTGCCCAGACATTCTGCTGAATTCAGGCAACTTATGTAGTTGAAAGACCATTTAGAGAGGGGTTAGAGTTTAACACAGCTATTATTGAATTTTGCATATTTAAAATAAAAATAATGAGGGTGCCTCACCTTCGCTATCTATTTTAAACAAGTGTTGGAATTTAAACATTAGGATTGTTAAAGCTAACACAATGGAAAAGGATGGATAAGTATCATCAGTAAAAAAAGAAATTACCACTGTAAAAATTACTAAACATCAATGACTTAGAGGAGGAATATAAAGTTATAAAGGAAGCAAATGAGACTACCTCGATCATAAAATTTTAAAAATCATAATACATATGAAGAAGAATTGGACCAAAAGAAAAAAAACTAGCTTAGTTAAAGGGAGAAAATAAACAAAAGAAATTATTTAAATGGTGAAGAGCCAAAAACACTAAAGAGGGAAAGATAATTGGTACAAAAATAAACAGTAGGAGGCAAATTAGAGGAAGGAGAAGGAAAGAACATGGGAAAAGGAGAAGCCCTCTGAGAAATGAGAGTCTTTTAATCAGGAAAGTTTATATCCTTATTAGTACACTGGACCTATGGGGTTCACTTATTTTCTCATTTGAGCCACAACCTTCATTTTAACCCAAGTTCTTTTCTTTTCTATGAATCAAAGACCTTACTGGATTTGGTCACATTATTTTTGCTTACAGTAGGCAAACCAATAAAATCTCCCAACATTTTTTAGTAACTTGATTTACCCTTATCCCAGAAATCCAAATTTAGTAAATACAGAGTCTCAAATGAATGAAAATATCTCCTTCACAGGCCCTGACTCCCAAACATTTCTTTTTTTGTTAAAAAAAAAAAAAAATTGCCCTCTATTGGATCTTGCGATTAGCTGTGCCCATAAGCGGAACTGAAAGTATGCGATTTTTGTGGGTGACTAATCAGAATTACCAGAGTGAGCCATATTGTACTACTAGAATTCAATGTACATGTCTCTTACTGACCACACAGAGACCCACACACAACCTCCCCACCACCACACACACCACCTTACTCTGATGAACCTAGAGGAGGTGATAAAACATCCTCTGATGGTTCTGAAGAGCTGCCCCCTCCTCAGTTGAAAGCCACTGCTTCCTGTCTGACCCCTTCCACCTTTCGCCACCTCCACCCACATTCAAAACTCTGCTTCTAAGCTTAGCCTATAACATGTTAGCACTGCCTTTAACTTTACACTGTGAAACTTCTTAGGGTCCATGTCCCTTCCCACACTTTTTAAAGCACCATGTTTTATGTAAAATGGCACTTCTAATGCCAATGTTTCAAAATGTTGGTGATTCTTTTTAAATCCTGTCAGATGATGGCTTTAATTCAATTAATTACTCTGATTTTCTTCTTTTTTTTAAGAAAGGTAGCCAGTCAGATCTTTAGTTAATATGTAAATCCCAAAACTCTATCTTTTAAGAGAAAGTGTATATTTTTCAAAAGTAAGAGAATACAATTTTCTCTGTGAGGATCTGTATAGTGACAGTCCTGACGCTCGCTGTCTCAGGCCACGACCTCATAGTCGTGTTTTGCTCTTCCAACTGCTCAGCCCTTTCCCAGTTCTCTGGGCCATTCCTAAATCCCATTAATCCGGTCAGAGCACATTTATTGCCCGGTACATCCATTAATCAGTGACACAGAAATTGCTAGTGCACAATTCTCACATTCTCTGCTGCGTGCAACCTAACGTACATCTTCCCAGAACTTCTGTTCCAATTTTAGTGCACCCTCCAAGAAGTTCAACTGCTTTTCTGGCTTGCTTGGTCATTCTTTTAACACACTTAGATGAAAAAGCCTCAACCAATTGTTTTTAAAGGGGAAGAAAGCAAAGTAAAAATGATCAGATTTTGATGGCTGCCTAGCATCATCTCCCCCCAATAACTCTTTGCTGCCTACAGGGGATATGGTCACATTGTTAAGAAACATGGGGCCAGGCTTGGTGGTTCAGCCTGTAATCCTAGCACTTTGAGAGGCCCAGGTGAGTGGATTGCCTGAGCCCGCAGGTTCGAGACCAGGCCAGGCAACTTGTTGAGACCTCGTCTCTACAATAAATGCAAAAAAAAAAATTAGCCGGGCTCAGTAGCGCGTACCTGTAGTTCCGGCTACTTGGAAGTCTGAGGCGGAAGGATCTCCGGACCCCAGCAGGTTGACACTGGGGTGGTCGTGAGTGTGCCATGGCACTCCTGCCTGGGCGACGGGGTGAGACTCCAACTGAAAAGAAACATGGGACCCAGCCAAATACCCTGAAAAGTTCATAATCGAACTTCTTGTCCTGAAGCAAAAAGCATTTGGCAAAGTAACTACAAGCACATATCCTATTTCCCTTATTCACGGCCTCTGCGTAACACTTAACTTTTATAAAAATGAACTCTTCTCACTGGATTCTACCCAGAAACTGAGAAGTATATATCTTTTAAGGAAAAGCACCACAAATCACATAAGCCACACAATGAAGACAAGAAACACTTCCACAGAAGTGAATAGTAAGCTATAATTCTGAAGACCCACAAGATGAGGACCAGAACAAGACAGTAACTGAGGGAACATTTCTTTCAAATCCAAACATTCTTCCCACAACACTTACGGAGGTTTTATTTAGATGAGTCAACATATCCATACTCTGAATATTCACTTGCTAACAAAAGTATAGTTGCACCAACCTTAGGAAACATATTATTATCAAAAAGCAATGGAGACCAAACCTGAAAAGCCTCGAGAGGAAGAGAAGCACATTAGAACAGTGTGTTTCTAAAAATGTTTCCCACACAAAACAATCTGTCAGTTATATATTTGGTCTTGTTCAAGGTGGCTCAATTACAACAGTATGAGAAGGACAGAATTTTACAGCAATTTCACCCCAAAAGAATAACAAACTAGAACCCCCATCAAGATTAAATTAATACTAAGATTAATGAAAGAGGCCCATATAGTAAACACTTCCAGGAAGGCCCTAAAAGACAAAGATGTGTCAGATGATCATTGAGACCTCTTGTCCTCATCTGAGAACCAGAATGACATATAATTCTTAACTACTATCATTCCTAAGCACGACACAAATTCCTGAAGATGATTTGTAAATTTCTTAAGAGTGGGTCTATATTAAATGTAGGGTTTTTCTGCCCTACCTGGCCTTGCAAGGCGTATCAGAGAAATGTACACATCATGGCAATCTCTTTCCTGTGGTATGACGAGTTGTATTATCTGAAAATTCTTGCAGCGAATTAGCAGAGGGCATCCAGTAGCAGTTGTGGCCTGTTTTTCAATGGTGGAAATCTGACTGTGAAGAATCTAGAACCAAGAGTTAATTTGGATAAGTCAAATACAAATGACTAACAAATATGATAAGGACTAATACAGATCTCTGAGCCACAAAGAAAGACAAGAAACACTCCCCAACCTTTAGCTAGCTCAACACCTATACTCAGATGGCAAGAAGGGAAGTGTTCTGAATAAAAAACAACTGTCTAAATTTTTTATTTTATTTTTCAATACCAAGCTTTCTAACATCCAGTATAATTATTTTGAAGCAAACCATTCGGCATATAAATTTGCACAAGTCCAGGTAGGGGAACATTTTGGTAGACAAATGATAAATGCACTTAACAGCTAAAATTAAATAAGGTCATGAGAAGTTAGTAAAATAAACTTTTGCAGTCAACAAAATTGGAGATGGCTCCGCTGGGAGGTGCCACCATGCTTCTCAATTCCACATGGAATGTTCAAGTTCAGTATCAACATGAGATTGTTGTTTTTTAAACTGTTGGTGGTCAGGCAGGCTGTAGAAGAGATTTATTTTATCATTTTACTTTTAATTAATATTTTGTTGACAAGTCACAGTTGTATACAGTTATAGGGTAAAAAGTGATGTTTTAATATATCATACAATGTGGAATGATTAAATCAAACTAACATATCCATCACCTGATTACCTATCTTTTTTATGACAAGACATTGAAATTTACTCTCGCAGTTATTTTAAAACATGACTATTGAGTATAGTTACCCTGCTATGTAACAGATCTCAAACTTATTCCTCCTATCTGCAGCTTTGTACCTTTGATCAACAACTCCTGATTTCCTCCCTCCCCTCCTGACACCCAGTCTCTGGCAAAATTATTCTACTCTCTAAGAAAGAGATTTATCTTAACAAAAAGCATGTGGGAAACTGCAGGGAGTGAGTGGGTAGGAAGGGAGGCAGGATTGGCAGTAGTGGGAATCTGCCAAGGGGAGGAGGGGGCACATATCAACAAGGGTACCTTCATAGTGAACATTTGTATACCTATCCCTGAATTGTATCCCACATCTTTAAAAGAAAAAAGAAATAAAAAAGCATGTTGATGTGCATCTCACTGGCATTTCAGGAGGATCTCTGCTCAGTCTTCAATGAGCATTTTATTCTTTAAGTTTCACTCTCCACTAAGTAGTGCCTGCAACCTTCTGCTGAAAACATAACTGTCCACAGAACGTGTAAAGGGAAAAGTCTACAATTCAGGGTTTCTTGTTCCAGTCGTAATGTCAAGGTTGGGCTGCTATATAAAATAAGAAATATTTAATGGTTTCACTATTAAGTAACAGAAATACCTAGTGATGGGACTCCTCTCTGGATTTTCTTTTTTTAAATTATCAGAAAAGTGGAAACAATACAATAAAATCACTGAATGGCTGCATTAAAGGTTTCTACAAATAAAGCATACTGCAAATAAAGTACTATAGGATGAAAATGCTATATATGGCTTATGACCATCATCTCTGCTTGGTAGCTGTGACAAGAAGTACTTGTATCTTCTGGTTATTCTAGATCTATCTTTGATGATGTTCAGATAATTTGTGTTTAAAATGAATAAGTAGACATTCCAGAAATAGTCCCCTGAATACCCAAACACCAAAAGCCCACCCACCTCACCCTGAGGAGAAATGAAAGAGTGGAGGCTTAAAACATTTTACTTCAAACAATGAAAAATGTAGAAAGTCAAAAATAAGGAAAGCATACCCATGTTTCTTTCCTTGTGTCAGGTGCATTTTCAACGAATATGACATGAGTAGCCGTCAAATACAAAGTACCTAGGGCTGCTTTTTTAGAAGATACTCGATCTACCAAGCGGACATTTTCAACCTAGAGAAATCAGTATGATGGAAAAAGTTATAATAAAGCAAAAGAGAAATTCACAGAACAAATAGCAAGCAGGTAATTAATCTCCTACACCGAAATATAATTCTGAGAATCCTCCCCAATAATAAAAAAGCAAAACATGACCCCTTAATTAGATCTCAGATTATGATTCTGTGTATCAAAAGATAAAAATTTACCAATTACAAAATATGACTATAAATGTACCATAAAAGATGTGCAGACTTATTTTTAAGATTATCCTTCATGAGTTTTTAGTAGCTCAGCACTTTTATTTCATTGTAATTATATGAAGTCTCTAGTTTAAGACAGAAAATGTATGCATTAAATTTCTGAGTTTACACAATGATTATGTATGAGTTAAGGTCTATAAAAAAATGACACTTTTTCCTGTGTTTCTAAGTTGCATAAATGGCCTTAAGGCTATTTTCTTCCATATAAACTAGAAGAAAATAGAATATACATATGGGAGAAAAGAGTACAGGAGAAATTTATATAAAGAAAACCTATCAATTTAAGATCCTGACATTTATTTATAACAAAACCTTTCTAATGAATGAAATTCTTACCACACAGCTAAAATTTAAACTGTTAGAAGAGATTTCTGAAAACAACTTTTATCAAGCATATATCTCTTATAGGCAGAGCAATTTCAAGGATATGTGCGCTGAGATCATCTCACATGAAATGTAATGGAAACGACAAGTCTACGGGGCAAGTGAAAACTGAAGCAATGATGACTAATGAGACAGAGCCCCCATAACCACAAGATGAACATTCTTGTAATGACCACAGGGCATAGCAATCCTACGACTGCCAAGAATCAACCATGTACAGAAAAATAGTCTCATCTCCCAAATAAAAATGGTATTTGCTTCTGTGGGGAAGCTTAGGGACTAATGCATTGCATTAGCTCCATGTTTTAGTCTAATATAGAAGCTGTGGTACTGATCTAGTGTGGGGGCCCCAGAATTCTCATCCACCTCAGGGAAGAGCCAGGGGAGCAGCAAACCTAATGAACATTCCTCAGGACACCAGGAGAAAACAGCACTCAAGACTGTCCATTGCCTCAGTCTCTTCTAAACCCTTAGAGTCAAACCGGCCATCTAGGAATAGCTCTAGCGAGTCTCACCCCTCTTCCTCCTAATTTCTAGAGATCTACTGAAGTCAATTAAAAAATTAGATATTATAAATATTTTTTAGTCATGCAATTTACTCTGAGGTATTGCAAAATTCCTAAGGCCTTGTGAATGCAATGCACATTGAAGATATTCATGCAACAACAGTGCCCCTCTCCAATCATCTTCTGGTTTTTAAAAGTATTTCTTTTGTTACTAATATGCTACACACTCTTTCCTTTGGCTAGCCATCATGGGGTTATCTTTTGAAAATGGTTTCATATTGTTGATTTACTTTGCTACTGGGTGGTCCTGATTTCTTATAACAGAACTGTTTATATAGTAAGAATAGTAGTTCCATGGCCCAATTTTTGTATTGTTTATTTATTTATTTATTTTTATTTTTTATTTTTTTTGAGTTGGAGTCTCATTCTGTTGCCCAGACTGGAGTGCAGTGGCACACTCCCAGCCACTGCAGCCTCGACCTGCTGGGCTCCGACAATCCTTCCGCCTCAGCCTTCCAAGTAGCCAGAACTACAGGCGTGCACTACTACGTCCGGTTAATTTTTGATTTATTGTAGAGAGGAGGTCTCGCCAAGTTGGCTCGTGGGTCTTGAACCTGCGGCCTCAGGCAATCCACTGGGTTCAGCCTCCCAAAGTGCTGGGATTACAGGCTGAGCCAACGAGCCCAGCCATGTATTAAGTTTTTATAACTGCCTCTTCACCAAACTTTTGTATTGGTTCTAGTAATTTTTTCAATAAAGTCTCTTGAATATTTTGAGTAGACAGGAATATTTTCTGCAATTTTCTGGCTTCCTTTCCAGTATTTATCTCCTTTTTTTTCCTTGTTTAATGGCATTAATTAGAAACTTCAGAGTAACAGTAAACAGCATGGTGACAGCAGTCATTTTTCTGTTGTTTGTCATTTGTTTAATAATAGCTTGAGATATAGTTCATACATCATACAATTCACATGTTTAAAGTATACTGTTCATGGTTTTTAGTATATTCACAGCATTGTATATACCATCACTGTGCAACCATTAACACAATTTTAAAACATTTTCAACATCCTCCCAAAAATAATCCCTGCTCCTATTGCCAGTCACATACCAGTTTTCCTATCAACCACTGCAGCCCTGGGAAACTATCAATCTATAGATAGATAGTATAGATTCGCCTAGTCTTAGCATTTCCTATAAACAGAATCATACAATACATTGTACTAGTTTCTTTCGCTAAGCATAATGTTTTCGATCTAAGTTTCAATCCAAGTTCATCTATTTGTAGAATGTATCAGTACTTTACTTTTTATTGCCCAATAATATTTCATTATATGGATATATCACATTTTATTTATCCATTCATCAATTGATGTACATTTGAGTTGTTTCTTACTTTTGGCTACCACAAGTAATGCCATTATGAATATTCATATATAAGTTTTTGTATGGACATACGTTTTCATTTTTCTTGAGTATATATGGAATTATGGAGTCATATGGTAACTCTTCGTTGAACTTTTGAAGTCTGCTACTTTCCAAAGTAGCTAAGTCGTTTTACACTCCCACCACCAGTATATGAGAGTTCTAATTTATTCGCATCCTTGCTAACACTTGTTATAATCTCTATTTTTTATTATAATCACTCTTGGAGGAGTGAGATGGTATCTCATTGTGGTTTTATTTGCATTTCCCAGATGGCTAACAATATTGAGCATCTCTTCGTGTGTACCTGTTTTTAATGGGAACACTTCCAATCTTTCACCACTGAGTTTGAGGTTGACATTTTTTATCACACTGTGAAAGTGACCATTTACTAAGAGTTTCGTTTACTAAGAGTTTTGATTTTTTAAAAATCAGAAGTGGGGCAACCCCTTCGGGTCCCCTCCCACTGTGGGAGCTTTTCTGTCCTCTCAGTAAATCCTTCTTTCTAAAAACAAAAAAATCAGAAGTGAATGTTAAGCCTTTTTAATATGTATTTGGATAAATATTTGCTTTTTCACTCTAGTTCTATATTATCCATAAGAGTAATAGATTTCTTAATCTTTAAAGAAGTCTTGGATTCCTGGTATATGACTAACTTGGATTTGTTGTATTGATATTTTAATATTCCTTGTATTTTATCTGCCATAGTTGTCATTTTTATCTGCCAGTTATCACTTTTGTTTTTATCTATACCTTTAAGAGAAATTGGTATGCAGTAGCCTATTTTTATCAAATGAATTAATCATGGTTATGATTACATCAATTGGTTAGGAAGGTTACAACATAAAAAGTACTTATTAGTTGAAACAAAATAGGTATTTCTTCATATAGAAAGATTTAATAATGCTTTCAGTTTCTTATGTGGTTATAGATATGTTCAATGTTTCTATTTTTTACTAAAGCTCATTTTGATATCTTTTTTCCTTACAAATTATCTGCTTACTGTAGAACTTTCAAATTTTTACAATCTTTTAATCCTTATCTGTGGGTAGACCCCTCTCTCCTTATCCTTTCCTTCATTCCTAATACTCTGAATTATGTTTTTTGCTTTTTGTGATTAGACAGGCAAACGCTTTTCTTCAAAGTAACAAGTCTTGTATTTGTCAGCTTCATGCTTTTTCTCTTTTCTAATTTGTTGATTTCTGGTTCTGTTTGTTAATAATGTTTTAACTTGCTTTGCTTGAATATGCCACATGGTATTCGTTGGTTTGTTTGTTTCTAAATTATCAGGTTTAACAGTCAGTTCATTATCATTTCTAAATAATGTATACTTAAATTCAATCGTTTTCCTCCAAGTAAATCTTTGGCTGCATCCTGGGAGCTTTACTTATAGTATCCTCATTCTTCTTACTTCCTAGATAAGTCTATAACTGCGGTTTTTATTTCTTCTTTGACCCACAATATTTAAGGAGAGTATTTTTCAAATTCCCACATGGTTGAAATATTTTATTTAAGCTTTTGTCCTTAAACACTCTATTTTAACTAACTACAAGAAAGATATTATGAAAGAGAGTTATGGGAGAAGAAAAATAGGGGATATATTATTTTTGGAACATTTCTTTGGGAAAAAACTTATTTGCATGCTCAAATGTACCTAGCTAAATTGAGCAGAAGTTCAGGGGTAATATACCAGTTAGTAATATCTAAAAATGGGATGAAAATAATTGTTCCTGTACTTAGGACTAATGAAACAAAATTGTATAGGGATAATATTGAACATAAAATAATACTTTAAGGCAAACTATCTGGTATGTATTACTCTCCCTACAAAAGTGAAGGAAGCTATACCACTTAAATTATTTTTAGAAAACCTCAGTGGAACAGAATAAGGTACACAGATGTTGGTAGATTAGAATCCTTAATGGAATTTTTAAAATGTCTTTTGTTAGCTTTGGATGCCACTACAGGAAAATCACATTTCAAAATTTGGCAATCGCTCCTACAGGTCCCAGAGCTGTCAAAAGCAATTTTGAAGACACAAGAGGGAAAAAAGAAATGAAAAAAAAAAAAAAAAAATCAACAGCATGATTTCCCAGCGATATGTAACAATTTTTAAAAATGAGTAATAAAACTTAGAATTCAATCATCTGAGAAATGCTATAAAGATAGAGAACACTGTTCAGGAGCCACCAAGATAGCCAAAACGACCGAAAATGGAATAAATCTTAGAGTTCTGGCACCGTCTTAAAGACCCAGTGGTTCAATATTCCTTCTCATTATTTGGCTAACTGAATTTTATCTTGCTCACACATATAATAAGCTTTATGTAATACACAGTAATAAGGCTTCTTTTCTGTGTAGAGATAAGACTCAGGACACTACTGGCTTCTCAAGACATAATTTTTGCAACTCATTTTCATGTTCTTAGGAATACTATGCT